TCAGTGGATCTCTGATATTCTACTGAGACATAGTGTCTGTGGGGAAGATATATCTTGACATGTAATTCTTATCTTTTCTGGAGTGGTTCTTGGGGAATGCAGTCGCAATTTCAGTGTACTAGTAAGAACAAGTCAATTCTAGGTGTTCAGGTTGCCCAGACCTATCTCTCCTTCAGTGTGTTATAGTATTGTCTGAACTTACACAGTGTATGCAGAGCATCTTGTGATATTGCAGCGAATGAAAGATGTACACATTTGATCTAAGTAGCTTTAAAAGACRTGTTCTCCCCTGTAGTGCTCATTCCCTGCACACACTGAGAAACATGCAACTCAGCAGTCGCTCTCCATATCACTGTGTTCAGGAGCTGCACTCATGAATGATGAGACACTTACCACCAGTTGGCAATACAAAGTTGGCATCAAAATCCTATAACAGACTTTCTAATTATTTTCTGAATTGTCTTTAAAATTTTGCTTAAAAATTAGTTCTAAATTTGGGCTTAGGAGACCAAGGGTAAAACATCTATTTTGAGCTCACAGTTACTTTGTGGTTTTGGAAAACAAAACATAACAAAACAAAGGATGTATTTGAAAATATTCTCCTTTAATCTGTGTTAGCAGTAAGGGATCAATGCCAAGTTGTACAAAGCAAGAACAATTATCTTGCTATTGATGTATAAACCGATCTTGCAGTGATACTGTTCCAGCTACAGCATATGTTGAGGATGTTAAAGGTGAGCAAACAGAGTTCAAGTCTGCTAAACTTTCTCTAATAATTTCATTAATTAGCTCCTGTGGGCTGAGATAATTTTTCTTTTGTATTTGGACAAAGCCAAAACTATAGAAACTATTTCATAATATCTGGTATAAGAATGAACACACTGAATTAAAAWTTTGTTTCACTTTCTTAGCTTTCTAGGTACCCTAAAGACCAATTTATTTTAAAGGAGATTGCAAAGCTTGAGGTGTAGTGTTTTACAGAATAATACAGACTTCCTTTATTCCCTTGGTGTTAAGTGTCCAGGACTTCTCAGTCTTACAGATTGGAAAGTTTTAGTTTTACTGGTTAGCAGAATTCAATTAGATTTAACAGGGATTACACAGCCTCACTTCTATATGGCACAGAGAGGACTGGAATCTTAAAACAAGTTAATAAATAAGCACCATTTCTATGGGAAGAGGATTTGGGATGCACTTTTTTCCTGACAAAAGTATGTCTGTCCACTTTTATATGACTCATGTGTAAATTGTGGATTTGCCTTAAATGGGTTTAAAAAAGGACAGATCCTTAAATACGAGAACAAAACAAACAGAAGTGTTAGACTTCATTTGGTATTTCCCTTATTTGTTGCACAATTGAAATAATGATATGAAGTTATTTATCAGTCTGTGATTACTGCAAACAGTAGAAGGAGAATGTTTATCTGCTTGTTTCTACAATGAAATGTGAATTGTATGCAGTTGACTATTCTGATGTTTCTAGCCCTGAAATCATGTTTCCCTTAGTCTATCCAAGGGAAATTTTTCTGGTTTAAAATCTCAGYTTTCCCCCTTAGTTTAAAAATAATAAATATCTTTTTTAAATTTATGACCAGTTAATAGTTTTTAATTCAATGGGAACAAATCCAGCAGAACTGATTTGCATGATATTTAGTGATTGCTGCTGTGCCTGAAGATTCTGCCTTAGTCTCTTTCCTCATCTCCCTCTTCCCTGTGCCCTGTTTTTTGTCAAGGGTCAGAAGCAGATGCTGAGGGAAGAAAGAAAATGCAGGCAAGCACCAGGTGCTACTCCACAGATCCCCTCCTACCTCTAATGTTTGCTGTTTCCACCATTCTTTCCTTTGGGAGCTCCCCTGCATAATTAATGCTGCACACTGCAATCTCTATCCCTCTCCTTCAAAATGCAGTTACCTATGAATTCTCTTCCCCAATTTGACAATTTTAACATATTAGTGACACCAAATCAGACAAGTGTAATTTTATGAGCTTGATCTGGTTAGCACKCAAGAATTTGCTCCCACAATGTTTCTAGTATCCTAGTATATTTGATGGCCATTAGGAGGAGCATTTGTTGCTTGGAGAGACTTGCCAGGCATGGTAGAGACGCAGATACTAGCTAGATTCTCTAGATGCTCATCTCTCTTTTGTTTAAAAGGTTTAGCCAACTCAATTCTACTAGTGAAGTAAAAATSCACCAATTCCCTTCAATCAAATAAAGATGAATGTATTTGCTTGTCAAAGGCAAAAAAACTTAAAGCAGGGTATTAATGTAAGCTGGTGCTGGTAGCAGACCATATAAGAGCCTTCTTCTTCTATCCTTTTTATCACCTTCTCTGTGTTAGTTCCACTTACCAGTGAAAGAAAATGGGGATAGAGGAGGTGGTGGTAGTGGGATTTCAGTGGATGCATCATAGGCCTTGCTGCAGTAACCCGTATGTGTGGTCCTTCAGAGTGGGAGTTGTACTCTGGCCAAAAGTGCGTCTGTGTGAGCAGAGGTCCTTGTAAGACTCTGCCTGTTGCATTCGGGCTTAGAACTCCTGCTCTATGTCTGAATGTCCATGTACATAGATATGAGGCGCACCTAAGGTCCAGAATCTGTATGGAGATTTGTAACTTGCAGATATGATTTCCAGTCCACTGCCCTGGAATTTGCAAGGGAAGGAGCAAACGGTGGCTTAGTCTCATCTTTTACTAAATATGTACTGCCAAGGGAGGACAAGCATTTCTTTCTTTAAACCAAGAGATTATATCCTGGCTAACTGCATTTAATCGAAGGTCAGCATTGCTTAAAATGGAAAGAGCCCTTTTGTGTCAGTGAGATGGTGTCGTATCTCTTGGTACATATCTAATCCTACTGCTTTCAAATTTTTAATGAAATCAAAGCATATGCTGAGCCTATCCATGGAGTGGCTTAGTTTGTGTAGCTGAAGAACAATCACAAGACAATTTTCTAAAAACAATAGATGAAAGAGGAAGTTTAAACCACTTCCCAGTTGAGAAAAAACAATTGTGCTGATTCACATCTGTGCAGAATGATAGGGTTTTTTCTTTTGCCCATTTATTCTCATATTGCCATGACTGTATGAGAATGCAATAGGACACTCCCAGATGTAAGCCCAGTAATAAACCACAAATTCCTTAACTATAATTATCTCTTCAGATTTCATCTTAGGTTTCAGCTTTTAGCTTCTCTTCCTGCCATTATACAAATATGGTGGTGCTATTCAATGATGCTTGGACAGAAATACCACATTTACTGATGCACCAGAAATTCTGAAAGGGTATATCAACAACAGCATAGATACCATTCATAGTTCAGAAATTCACCCTATGCAGGATGTGAATGTTTTACTGAAATCACCTGTTAACTAAGTACATTGAAAACTGCAACTCTGAGCAAAGATGGGGATGTTATGACCTTCATAAGTTATCTCTTGAGTCCATCATAAAAGCAATTTCTGGCCAACCCTTGCCCTTTTAACCTAAGGAGATATGTCACAAAAAAAGAGTTCAAGATGTAATAAAAGTGGCATTTTCTCTATGAGGTATACTATCCATGAAAGGGGAACTTCAGACATTTTTCATATCCAATTTCATAATACTGAATAAGACAAAAAAAAAATTCAAATGCATCTGACTTACATAAGGTAAGTGAGAAGATATATAACCTTTGAAGTAGCATTAACTGACTGCTTAGTATTCAATGGGTTTGGAAGGAAATGCAGTCACCTACATTGTGAATTGCCTTTGCTGAGATAAAAAGTAAAACCCTTGTTCACTCTACAGGGCACTGTTATTTAGTTTGATGAAGCAATTGCTCTGCTCCTGTATTACTGGTGCAGTATTGAGAAACAATAAAGAACAGGAATGCAAAATGTGTCTTGTTTGCCAGAAATGGCAAGACTGACAGGAGTTCTGAGGAGCAGCTGAGATACTTCAGCAATGGTGGTTGTCTCCATGAAGGATGAAGTACCTCTTGACTACCCTCTGAGTAAGAGAGTTGCTTCTTGTACAGACACTCTCTTGATCAGCTCCCATGTTTTGCACACCCATTTAAATAGGAGTTAAGCCCCTCTTCCCTAGCTGACAGAACATAAGCTCATAATAATGGCTGTTACTTTGCACAGGTCTCACAGACTCTAGGATTAATACCATAGTGCAGTTTACTGAGTMACTGGATAGTCCTTTCACTTTTCAACAACCATTTTGTGACGTAAGAATGGGCACAGACCTTGATCTGTCCCTAAACAAGTCCTCTCTGTCTGCTGTGTGCTTTCACAGTGGGACAGATGTATTTGGCTTTCTCTCAGTATGTGGGAATGTGGGCAGAAGAGTGGCAGAACATGCTGGAGTGTGCAGGACAACATTAAGGGAATCTGCTTCCAGTCAAAAAGACCAAAAAAAATAGGCTCACATCCAAAAAGGCTCGATGTGTAAAGCTTCAAAGTAATTGCTGGCTGTCATTAATATTTTAACTTCAGTGTAATGGTTCCTCCTTTGTCACTGAAAGTCAGAACTACAAATAATAATTTGTAAAAAACAGCTCTTAAACTTCTCATTCCTTACTGGGAACTCAAGTTCTTAAGACATATTTTTGGGGTTTTTTTTTCCTGATTTTATTCAAATTATCTAGAAAATTAGAAAAAACRGAAGTATTTGTTCATAGTTGTCTGAAAAAAAATCAGGTTTTATAGTTTGCTGCTCTACTATTTCTACAACTGTGAGCTTTTAAATAGCCTTACATGCAGTGTGTTTCACTTGCACCTCATTGCATGTGCTAGCAATCTGCATGGATGCTAATTAAAAGAAATACAGATGGTGACCTATCCATTTAGATCTTTGTTTGCATGTGTGTATATTCCTTTGATGTTTGGGKTTTTTTTTTTTAAAGATAGATATGAATTATTTGAAATTGATTAAAAATTAAAATTTCTTCATGTGAAAATCAGACTTGTAAAATATAAGCTTTCTCATCTCTTACTGTTTTCACATTATACTAGGACTGCAGAGATGTGGAAGCAAAAAGGAGTAGGAGAGCTCAAAAATTCAGCAACAATAAGTCAAGAATACCAAAGTGATTCATTGACTTTAAGTATTTAAATTGTAAGTAATTCTATTGTAACTTTAAGTAAAATACTCAATTAAAATTTTAAGTAGTAATTTCTTAAGAATTTTGACAAGTTTTTAATAATGTGCATATAGTATTTAAAAGGATTATTTTAAAATAGCACTGTTTTGACACTTACTTGAAGTCTCAATGAACATGAGAACATCGCTGCAAGTAATGAAAATCTACAGAGCCTGGAAGATGGAACTGAAATAATCCTTTCTAGGAAATAGATTTGAATGCCACTGTATCGGTTTCCATGGGGACCAGCAACAAAAATATTGGCAGTGAACCTATTGGGSGAGTTTATGGTGAACATAATTCCCATTTTTTTTGGTTTGGAAGTTTAAAAAAAATATTTTAGGGTAATTTCAAAAGCCAAGCATAAAAATGCACATTTCATGACTGTGCAAATAAAAGAAACACTTTGCATTTGTTTTAAGCTAACTAAAAAGAGTTCAACTGTCACTGCAGGAAATTGAGAATTTGTAAAGCTGCTACTTTTTTTGTAGACATTTGAGGGTCAACATGAATCAGATTATGCAGCAGAGAATGAAAGTCTCCACTGACTTGCAATATTTCATTCTGAAAGATTTTTTTTTCATATCAGTAGGAATTGCAGTAAATCTACAAGATGTGTAATATTATAACCCTGCAATATAATACAAGCTTGTGTATTGTTATACCAAATACTCAGAATAAAAGACCAGTTGTATTGGCAGTTACTACTGTTCACTCAGCACACACTATTTGTGTTTAAATGCTGCCAGATTGTACAACGTTGTGGCATAAATAGGGCCAAATTTAAGATACAACTTTTTTGAAACAAAGGTTCAGGAATATTTCATTTTTCCAGGAGTTCTGTAGAATTTGGAGGACCTAAAATATCTTCTGGCAACTTAGATCCATCCTGACATAAAAATGATGTCATTGGCTTGAGTTACTAGAGAGGTTCAGTACTCCAAGCTCTATTACTCCTGAGATTCCTTTACAGATACTGGCAGTGCAGAGAGCCAGGGAAACAGTCTAGGACAACTTGAGTCCTTCTTTTGCCTGGAAATATGTGTCCCTCTGGGACAAGAAATATATGTTACAGATGTTAATCAAGATTTTAAAAGCAAAAKGTTATTTGCAGGACCCTTTGAAGGTTTCCGATATGGTCTGTATCCAGATATTTTCTGTATCTCTGTGCTTCATTGGGTGGGCACTATTCTTCCTTTCTTGACTGAATTCCTTCAAAATGAGTAGAGCTGTCACTAGCCTTACTGTGCCTTTTCCTCTCCTGTGTTTATTCAAGCTCACAAGTCCTGTTCAATTGGAGTTGAAAGTTGGGAAGTGTTCTTGTGAGTCACTTGGTGTCCGGACATAGACAAACTTCATCTAGACCCTAGGAGTGAAAATCAAGAGGTTTCTTTGACTAGTCAGAAAATTCTGCACCTTTTCCTAGGTAAGACGGCTGTTCTGTGTAATGTTTTTCTCTTTCAAAGAGAGTATGTTTTTATARTCTCATCTGATTCTAGTATTGGTCAATTAGCCCTAATTTAGCTGTTAATGTGTGTGGTATTAGGTAGAATGTTTTATGAAGGTCTTTCAATATGATATCCTGAAAACAATTCCTGAAATGTACCATTAATAAATTTTTTTTGGTTTTTTGTGTTGTGTGCTTATTGTAGAAGAAGCTATTTTTTTACCTAAGTAGGAAGATACAATTTTGCCAGTGAAATTCTTTGGGTAGATACCTTGGATTAAAATAGGATTTTTAATTACTGTAATTAAAACCGCTTATGAAAGTTGTGCAAACAGTTAGGTCTGTAGAGCAGGACAATGGAGGCATTGTCCCTGGCACTATCCATCCTATTTTACCTCATCCATGCTGGAAAAGGCTCTCAGTCAGTAAGGGACTCTCACAGACATTGAAACATCAGAGTAATGGAGTTTATTCAAATTGGCCCCAAAATTTGCCACTAAATAGTACCTTTGTGCTAGAGATGCTTAGGAGGCTCCAAGCTCAGCAGCAGAGAGGTTCACAGTTTTTTTGGGAGTTTATCCTATCTACACAATAGAACTAGAGCGACCTAAGCCTTCTGTTTACATAGCACCAACACCTCTAGAAGCACCTCTGTGTATCTATGAACATGTGCTTAGGATTATCAGGTTGAAACCTTTTGAATTTGGATAACARGATTGTTTTTCTTACCCCGCCAGTGAAATACAGTAGTGAATAATCTCTCCCATTATGGCRTAGATTCCCGTGCTTATTCTAAAACTCTTTGACAATATTGCTCTTAAAAGCCTCAGGCTACCCTATTGGAGTATCTGAGCTGGAAGGCAGTTGAAAAGCTTTTCTCCTCAGTAGAAAGAGCAAGCCTCTTTTGGGARGTGATTCCAGCTTCGAGGAAGTTGAATTGCCTATAGATGTGTCTTTCTCTTGTCACTGTTTTTTTTAAGTCTCCCTTTTGGAATTACTCTTTCTGAGTAAAAGCAGAGCAATTGTACAGTCTGGGCTTTAGTCATAATGGTTTCCTTTTTGGRCAAATCACTTGTGTGTGCATTTCATTACTTTTTGTTTTTCTGCCTTGTTTTCTCATTTATAAGTAGTTMATTATGATCTCAGATGGGTACTGTTCAAAGTGTGAAGAAATTTCAGTTACTTGGATGAAATAGCCTATATAATCATAAAAGATTGTATTTCACGGTTAAGAAAGTCTACAGTTAGAAAAACAACTTTAAACTTTTATTTGTGCAGTTTGATACAGCCTCTGTAAACCCTACATTTAATGGGAGCTTCTTCACCATTGATTTTATCTGAATCTGATCAAATCCCAAGTGGTGGGCAAGCTATGGACAACTATGTTTCTACTCTTTTCCCAGTTGCATCTTAGCTTTCCAGACTTCTGTGATCTGAAAACTGAAGATGCRATTCTCTAAGTAAAAGGACTTTGTTCCCATGTGGTCTAGAAACTGTAAAAACTGCAATATTTCAGACTATTTGCAAAGACACTTATAAAAATACTCAACACCCCAGTAAAATTTCTTTTTRTGATCTGGTCTCTGTCTCATCTCAGACTTAGTTCTCCAATTCTCAGCTCATGCGGTAAGTCCTGCTGTCCTTACGTTCACTTTGTCTGAATTGGCCAAATTGCTACTCACAGCAATGGTCCTTCTTCCAGAAAGGCTGAGGGACAATGTCAAAGCCATGAGAGAGGTCTGGTTTGCAATGCCATTTTTACAGACTGTGGCACTTTAGGACAGTAAGTCACATTGCTTGGGCTCACCAGATGCATGCAGATGTGTATTCTGCAAACTTGCTTTCATTTATATGGCAGTTTAACTGTATTTCAGTAACTTTGCCAGTCAGATTGTTGTCATTGTTGCTTAGGTGATRTGCCATATTTCTCTGCAAAACCCAGTACTTCAGGAATCACAGCTTTCCCTTGACTGAAGTTCTAGGAYTAGGGAAGAAAAGAATAACAATGCCAAGGAATGCCTGAGTACTGGTTTATATCARTGCAATGTAGTTTATTTTTCTGGTCTAACCCAGGAGAGGGAGCTAACTTTCTAGCCATCACATCTGGCACACTGCACTGTAGCTGCTGATATCCAATGTCTGACTGATTATTCACATATGCTGTCCCTGACRGAGAATCATCTTGGGAGTGCAAAACCACCCTCCCAAAATGTTGGTTACCTCTGTTCAGCACAGTAAATATAATTACATTAYATATTCTTGACAGGGGAGTATTTATTGTTAATGTATTTTCCTATAATTTAAACACTGTTGCACATTATTTGCTCTCTTCACCCACTCTTCTGCCTTTTGCCTATTAAGGAAGRTTAAGAGGATCTGAATTTCATAGCTTCTCCGCTGCAGCAAATGTTGCTCTCCGTGGCACTGTGGGAAAGCAGGGCAGCAAACACTTATCAGCATTGCAAGTTCCTGTGCTTGTAGCCTGCTGCCAGCCTTGGTTGGTGTGCCAGGCACAGGGTGAATTATGCCTGAAGCAAAGAACATTCACACTGGTCCCTTCCAATGAAGGAAGCTGGGAAGCAGCTTATGGAGCCCAGCTAAGGAGCATGTCTGTGCCACTGGGCCCTCCTGCCCTGCACTTCTCARCAAACTCCTGCCTGCAAAGCTTCCATCTCGGTTGGCTGTAACTGCAGCCCTCAGACTGGGCTGGCACAGGACAAAAACAATTCCTATTTGTTTAAATAAGTTAATGAGTTAGAGAGGAGCACAAAAGAAAGAAGGGAGACAGGCCTGGCTGTTTTTGGTTCTACAGAGGGGAAATGAAGAACATCTGCCKATGGGCTTTCCTGAGGAATCATTGGCCCCAGGCATGTGCCTATGCTCTTGCACCTCCCACAGCCATATGTCCCCAAAAAATGGGAAAGCAGGAGTCTGACCTTGCTGTTTGGGTGCATTGGGGCACTCTGCCAGGTGCTGGCCAAGGCACCCATCTCTGTCCTTGGTACTCCAGTTCCCTCCTGGGCAAGGAATACCTGCTGAGTTGGCAATCCCATGRCTGGCTCTCTCTCTCTCCTTCCGTCTTTCTCCCTTACTGCTCTCCTTTTTTCTTCTCATTTCTTYTCTCTCACACACAAGTTTTAAGCTGTAATTGTTAAACAGAAGATTTTGAAAATSCACTATGTATTTAATAGAAAAGTTCAAACACTTTCCAAGAGAATGGAAAGAAAACAAAAGCATTGGGGTTTTTTTTTTGTTGGTGGTTTTTTGGGGTTTTTTTGTGTGTGTCTGGAATACTTGATGAGTTTTATAACTTTGTGCTTTTGGGTGCTTGAGGTTGGTGAAAATTTGAACTGAGAAGACTTACTCTGAAACACTGTTTGCTTTCTACACAGTGGCCAGCATCTCTGAAGGCATAAGCAGAGTGCAGAGCAGATGGAATAATTTTTCTGTGTTAGTTATTTTAATACAAAGGAACACGGGTAAATTAATATGGAAAATGAAAAAAAAATCAGTTTACCACATGTTGAAATTGAACAGAACATGAAAGTTCCAGGGAAAAGGAAAGAACTTTTAAAGTCTTTTAACAKTTTTCATGTTTGTTTCACAATAGGCTGATGTTAGTAAACAAGTAAAACCAAAGACAAGAGAAATTCTCCATGTCTTGTTGTTCTAGCAGCAAATTTTGATCCAGTTGATGAGGAGTTAGTAGATACTTACGTAAGTAAAAGTAAGTAACTTTCTCAACTGGGGATTTGAATTTAGCAGTGTAGTATAGTAGCATGGATGTGTACATGAATTACATTGATAATGTAAACTTGAGCTACCTATGTTGAGAAAACAAAAAGGAGAGCCATCAGTGCTGTCCATATCTTGTGGATTGACATGTGAACAGTAGTCAGTTTGAAAACACATCCCATGTCACTAGAAAATACTCAGTAATGCTATAATCGTCCTCTTAAAAGGTGTAGCCATGAAGACTGGCCCTTTAAAACTTAGTGGACATAATTGCAGCAGCAATTTGTTTCTTGAGCTAGGTAGACTACTTTTTCTATTTTCCAAAAAGATTGAAAATTGACAAAAAATTATTTATTTKGAATCAATGAATAGGGTGTGCAAGTATATTTCAGCCTTGAGAASCATCTGCCATAGTTATTACTTTAGAATTCACTCTACACACTCTGTAATTAGCTGAATAAGTCATGTGGGTTTGTTCTGCTGCAATTGGATGTCTGCCGTATTTATGGTTTTCAAGAAAGCTGGACATATACTGAAGTGAATACATTTTGCCTGAGTGATCATGCAAATTTCAGAGTAACACATCCTTAAATTAGAAGAGCAGAATAAAGAAATCAGCCATTCATGCTTACTGCTGTGACTTTTTGTTTAYGACTATAGATAGTAGACATTTGCTGACCGCCAGTGCAGGTGTCCTTTGTGGTACAGACTGAAACAATTTCTCCTCTAGTTAGAATGCCACAATTTGCAAATATTTTATCACTTGCATCTGTTTTGTTAAACCAACATTATTACCCAGTTAATTGTTTGTCATGTTATGTTGAAGTTTATGTTGAGCTTTTTTTCCAAGTGATGAATAGTAACAAAAACTGTTTATTATTAGAGCGTGACTGTCAGAACTGTCGAATACTGGAAATGCATGCCCACCAGTGCCATTGCAAGTCATAGTGAATGGTTTGAGCGAGTTAGCAGAGCCTGGTCCATGTTTATGAGTGTCACTCTGTSAGTATCCTGCCCACTAGAGCACAGCTGTGAGGCTAAAATGGATATTTTCTTGACTATTTGCAGTCACATAACTGGCCCTTTAAATTAAGCAATYGGATTCCAGACACCAGTTATGGCAAAAACCCACGATGTTCATCTCCATTATCTCTGTTATTTAAGGCTTTCAAAAAACCACTAACCTACACTCCTACATTCAAACAAGCACACACTAGAACACAGAGTTAAGCCAAC